ACTCCCTTTCTTTCTCAAACAGTGCTTTCACTGAGTGGTTTCTTGGCAGATGTGCAAAAGGAATTAATGCACAGCAGTTTGATTCCATTGCCAGCAGTCATCCTGACCCTGGCTTTGCACTGTCTGTCCTGGGAGAGGTGAGCTGCCAAGGAACCACTCGGGCACCGCCCCCCCAAGGTCACTTGCAGAGCGAGTGCCTCAGGGGAGAAGAGGCATGTGACAGGGGCCTTCTCAGACAGTCTTTCCTACCTGGATCCTGACTCCATGCGAGGGAGGTGTGGAGAACAATGTTCTCCAGAGAGAAGGGCAAGCTTGCAACTTCTCTTGGGGATGCTGATTCCAGCCTTGGGTGTAGGCCAGCTCAGCTGTGGAAGGCTCCAGGAGATGACTCTGGGTGAAGGATGGGAGGTTCCTTTACAGATGTCTGCATTTGTGGGTTGATGCCTGTGCCCTGCCTGATGTTAAGGACCCAAGTGTAGTTGCAAGAGACCCTTGTGTGTGAAAAATGGGTTGTAAGCAGTGCCATTGTAGGGATGCCCTATTCAGAGCAGCCTTTGTGTGGGGGAGTTGAAACAGAACAAATAGAGACTTGGAATATGGTGGGCTGAGAAGCCCAAACTTTGGTGCCAATTTCTTTTTATTTCTATCTGGTTAAATCCAAGACTTGTGGAAGTGTATCAATCTACATGCTCATCCAGCCATCCATCTCCATCCATGCACCTACCCACATACCCATACATCCTTTCTTCCTTTTCTTCTTTTCATTCATTCATTCCTTGTGAAACACCTGATATATGCTAGGTACCATGCTAGATTTTGTGTTACATTATGGTAACGTGAACGAGAGGACTTTGGCCTGCAAAGAGAGGAGTTTAGCCTGCTAAGTAGAGAGTCAGTTATGGCTCATTTTAAGAAGCAGCTCAGCATCAGCACAGGGGGCAGTGGGAGCAGAGGGGAAGAAGCCTCCTGTCTCCATCTGGTCATGGGTTCTGTGTCCCATCAGAAAGGCCAGAATGCTTTGGGTCTGGCTTTATCTCCACTGCTACAGACAGAAAGTCAAGTGTCTGTCTTACTGTACCTTGGACCTATGAAAGTTTCCTTTCTGCTGCTGATTTCCTTTTCATTTCCATTTGAAACTGATGAGCTGGGAATGGAGAGAGAGAGAGAGAGAGAGAGAGAGAGAGAGAGAGAGAGAGAGAGAGAATATCCCCCTGCGCTCAGGAAGGTTCTCTCAGGCTGTCCTAACCTCTGGCAGCAGGTTGCTCAGCCTTTGATGCCTGTGACATCATGAAGTCAAACTAAAGTGGCTGCACACTTTCCTGAATGGCTCAGACTGAACAGAGTAACCCACCACACACTGGCAAGAGGGTGCAGATGAGCGGAATCACTCACACACTGCTACTGGGGACTCATAGTGGCAGAGCCATGCTGGGAACCTATCTGGCAGTTTGCTGTGGAACTGTCATGCCACCCAGCAAGTGATCTCTTGAGCAATCTTCCCAGAAATTCTAAAGCTCACTTTTATACAAAAACCTGTCCATGCATGTTTGTGCCAGTTTTATTTGTAAAAACTCCAAACTAGAAGCAACCTCAGTCCCTTTCAACCAGTGACTGGTTTTTCACACTATGGAGAATACAGCAGTTAAAAGAAAAAAGCATCTATATCCATGGAAACCTGGAAGAAACCCCAGGGAATCAATTATGCTGAGAGGAAACAAGGCAAATTCTAAAAATTGCATATTGTAAGAGTTTTGAGATGACATAAGTTTAGAAATGGAGAAGAGATGTGTGGTTATTCAGGGAGGGAGGATGAGAGGGAGGTAGATGTGGAATAAAAAGGCAACATCAGGGATTCTTAGGATGATTAATGGTCCTGAGTCTTATGGTGGTGGATACCAACCTTAAACATATGATAAAACCATATAGAACTAAACACACACAAATAGAAGTAAAACCAGAGAAATCTGCGTAAGTTCAGTGAATAATAACAATGTAATACCATGGCAGGGGTGATATGATATGATGGTCTTGCAAAAATGTGACTGTGTTAGTTTTCTATCACTGTGACACAATACTCAAGAAAAGCAACATAGATTTATTTTGCCTCATGGTTTGAGAAGTGTCAGTTCATGTCAATGGCTCTGTCACTGTGGGTGTGAGTTAAGAAAGACCATCATGGTGGAAAGATTAGTGAAAGGAAGCTTCTCACCTGTGACAACTAGGACAAAGAGAACAAGAGAAAGAGCCAGAGAAGAAGGGGCTGGGGGCCAGACACAGTCTTAAGATCACACCCCTCATCGCCTCTTCATCGTCTCCCAATAATACCATCTAGCTATAAATCGATCAATAGATTGATCTACTGGTGAGATAAGAGTCCTTATAATCTAAGCTAGTCCCTAAAAGCCCATCAGTTGGCCTTTAGGGGACATTTAGATCCATGCCAAAATAGTTACCATTGGAAGAAACTGGGTGAAGTATGCAAGGGATTGCTGTGTATTATTTCTTACAACTGTGTGTGAATCTATAACTATCTCAACACAAACTTCAGAAAAGCATTGGGTAAAGTTGTACCTAGTTAAAATGTAAATTTCTAAATTGTAACTGTTGTAGCCTAGCGTTAAATTAAGGCTATTTTTGTGTACTTTGCTTGATTAATATGATTCTTCATGCCTTATTTTCTACTGATCAGCAGTTACCTATCATTTGAGACTCTTAAGTGAATTGGACTATTTTGATTTCTATATGGTTTTTAAAAACTTGGGCTTGACATAGAATATATGTGTAACCACAACTCAATAAATCCCTGCTCAGATCACCCTAAAAACTTGTTGGAGGGGATCCCTAAATGCCTAGAAGTGTTATTTTGGAATAAAATGCAACATTTTATCTTCAAAAGTTAAAATGCTTCTGGTCTATTTCATGTCAATGGCTTAATGTTGATACTTAAACAGATCACTTAAGATGTTGACAAATGTTTGATAAATGTGTAAGCACACTTGATGTAGATAGAGGTGGGTGAGACAGGGCTGTGCTTAGGACTTTGCATCTGAGATTGGCCATCAAAACCCTGGGGGAGCTCTCAATGCTGTGAGGGGAGGGTGTTCCCATCCACCATGAAAATGTGTAGTACTATGTTTGTACCTAGGGGAGAAAAAGTGAGCTAGTATTTAGTCAGCAGAGAACATGAGGTTACTGTGGGAGCATTTCTGTGATGTCTTAGAACAGTGTTCAGTGTTGTCTGCCATGCTGTTTGGCAGGGAAGATACTGGGGAGTGAGAATATGGCACATAATTTGTCTGCTCCCAAAATGGCTTTTAAGACCACTGCTAAGGCCATCATGGAATCTCCCAAGTAGATGGAGTTTGCACAGCACTAGTAAGTATTTCCTGAAGTTGTTTTAGCTTTTTCCAAGTTGAAGCAGCTTCAGTCTGTGGTGAGTTTCAAATGAATCCCAGCAAGCAGGCTTTTTCCAAGTGGATCAAATAGCACTTAATAAAAGTGTAACTGTGTATATCCATAAGGACCTGGCTACGTGTACATGGAGAGGAATTCCAGCAGTGAATGCTATAGGTCATGTTGAAAAGAACCTTTTTCTTGTTTATTAAAGCTAAGTCTTAAAATAGTCTCTGGCATCTTTGGTTCTTAAAATTGGACTCTTGCCAGAGGTGAGTGAGTAGGGGAAAGTTTGAAGCAAATTTTATGTGGTTGTTTTCTGTGGGTAGAAGGATGGAAAAATAGTAAAAATGAACTTCATATTTCTCTGGTTTTCTTGGAGCTTAGAAGTGACTGACCTAGTCTCACTTTTACAGTGTTTTCTTGGGCTAGAGTATAGATTTGGGAAAGAATAATACTTGGCAGTATTGGGGGAGAGGTCACATGGAAGCATGGGCCTTACAATGTGCACCCCACTTTTATCCTTCCCTGTGAGAAGACCTTAATTTGGTCAGTCCCCACTTTTCAGCTCTGTATGTTCCTGGAAGCCACATTTCACAATGCACATGCATAAGACATCTTATTTCCTTGGGAATGGTAAGTAGTGTTTGAACAGTCATTACGTTATATATGCCGATATTCTAAGCATTTCAAACACATTAGTTACCTAATCCTTATAACAGCCTAATGAAGTAGGCTGTATAGATGAAGAACTTGAGAAGTGGAGAAATTGAGTAACTTGCCTAGATCACATCTCATTAGTGGGAACATTGGTGTTTGAATTTAGGCAGTTGGACTTCAAAGCTTATTATTGAACCACGATAATATAAATTGTCTCTCACTGTTAAAACATCATGATTTTTAAACAAGGATTTACCAGTCAAATCAGATTAAGAGTATGTCATGATAGCAAAGATGCATTAATTCATCTATTTAGATATTCTGTCTGATAAATAGAAAATATTTGACAAATAGGAAAAATTCTGATTCTTTTAAAAAATAGGGATAAAAAATAAAAAATAGGGATAAATGTATCAATCAGATTGACTATACACAAATTTTGCTATCATGTAAAACTGGAGAGATACAATTTTCTGTGACATCAATTTGACTATAAGAATATACTGAAAAATGTAATTGGGTATGTAAGCCTGTGTCCTAGGCTGCAGAAAGGCCTTGGTGATGTGAATGGAGGGGTCTCCTCTGTATGACCTGCTGGAAGTGTGTGCTGGGACCTTTCCACCATCCCCTATGAAGGGTGCAGTCTTCCAGGGTTAGTTTCTCTACCTGTCCTCTGGCTTCCCTGGTGTTTGATGAAAAGGCTGAAGATAAACCTTCTGTGTAGCTTTGGCTGAAGGCAGGAGATGGTTACTTGCTTCTGGGTGGATCTCATGGAGTTCTGGGAGTCTGGGGTGGAGGTAGAAAATCTGTCTGAATCCCCAGGGCAGTGGGAAAAGAGTTTGGCTAGCAGTGTAATAAAGTTGCCTGTGTGCACAGACAATGCCCTTCACTTACCTCTTGCTCTTTCCCATCTCTCCCCTGCCCCACGGGCCACTCTCTGTCTGTAGCACAGACCCTGGATTCTCATGGCCTACGGGATGTGGGCCTGCTGGAGTGTGCTGGGGGCCCCTGGAGTGGTCATGGTTCTCCTCCACACCATCATCGCGTTCTGTGTGGCCCAGTTCCGGTCTCTGTTCCTGTCCTGGCTCTGTTCTCTGCTCCTGCTGTCCACACTGAGGCTCCAGGGTGTGGAGGACATAAAGGTAAGTGTCTTGGTCTTTTGTCATAACACCTCCAGGGAGGTGCAGGGTCCCCTTTTCAGGCATCCCAGTGGATGCTTTTGTTTCCCAACAAGCAGTTGTAGACCCTTGATGAGGCGCCCCTAGTGGCCGTACCAGGTATGTGCGGTAGCCTGTAGTTGCTTTGCGCAGACCCAACTTGTCTCAGACCTGGGAGGCTGCCCTGAACTTTCTTTCCTGTTTGAATTGCCGCAGGGTGTCCCCTGTGGTACAGGACCAGAGGGTCAGGAACAAAGGCAGGGAAGTCCTCTAGACATTTGAACAAATGCCCTACTAGTTTTAGGAAGCGTTTTCACTCCTATTCTTTATCTCGTTTTCAGCTCAAAGTGGTTCTGAGACAAGTAAGACAAGGGGTTTCTTCTTAGTTTATGCAACAGGTTTATTTTTTAATCAACTCACTCAGATAATAATGAAAGCTCTTTTATTTAGAAAGTGAAACAAGCTTTCATCATTTTTGTGAGTACACCGGTATCTGCACACACACCACTGCCTCTTGGTGCCAATGGAGGGTGACCTTGGACTCAGACTTCACTTTGGCAGCTTCTGTTTATACTCTGTAAGTTTTTCTTTAACAGGATCTTTGACTTCTTAGCTTTGTTTTTTCCTAGTCATGACAGCAGTGTATTTGTAGTCTGAGAGTAGATATTGAACTTGGGCTAGGGCGTGTTGGCCAACAAAGAGGTAGCACCCCAAGTGTGGGAGTCCTGAGTGCTGCCATGGATGGCACCCCTCAGTCAGCTCTTCCAGCACTGTGTTTCTGGTTCCAGATCATTGCCTAGACAGCTTTGAGCTGTCTGCTCTCTCAAGAGGAATTCAGTGATTCAGCTCTGCTGTGCGAGCTGGGGCCTGAATGAGACCCCTCAGGCTGTCTGCATAGCTTCCTTGTCTCACACATCTGTTGAACATATGCTTTTCAAGTTTGAAAATCAGTCTTGTCATCAAGACTGCAAGCCATCAGGTCTGTGTTTCAGGGCAGGGAGTATTAGTCTACATGGAGCTCTCCTTGGGGAGAATTGCATGCCAGGAGGAGGCAGTCCATGGCGCCAGGTTGCAGTATGTGGCTTGGGGCTGTGGGCAGTAGAGCCTGTCAGCCTCATGATCAGTCAGCTTCGACAACTACTGAGTTGAGAGAGCTAAAGCTCTCAAAACATTGGGGGCTGGTGGCCAGGCCAGGCTGCTTTGTTCTCTCTCTCCATCCTTATCTGCTTTTGGAACCTGGGAAGTCTTCCCTTTTCTTGTTAGACATTTTAAATTCTGTCTCTTTGAACCAACCTCATCCTATTCCTCACCAACCTATCCTCTTGTCATCTTCAAAGTACAGTCTCTAAACCTGGTGCTATCAAAGCCTCCATCTCCTGCTTGGGTGGTTTCTCTCCAGCTCCTCAGGTGGAATCACAGAGCGGTGATGGAGTACGTCTGGGCTGTTGAGCTCTGTGCTGTTTTTCATGTTCACATGCTGTGACATAGATCACCATAGGCTTCTTGGCATGGTGAAGTGGTTTGTGTGCCTGGCCTTGCAGACCAGCATATAAACTCTTTGAGAGTATTGTCAGTCACACCAGGCACCTGGGCACAGGACTCCAGCCAGGTTAGTTCTCTGGGGATGCCTAGCTACAGTGAGTGCGGCACTAGAAATGTGACGAGGCAGAGGAAGAGATGGGAGGGTTGTTAAAATTTGTGAGAGGCCATGGATTTGGACCGGGTTTCTATCTTGGGCCAGGACTAACAAACCAATGTGGACTTTAATAGCAGTGACTTATCTGTGGTTGGTTGCCTTAGGATCTGTAGCCAATTAACTGATTAAGCTGTGAACAATTAAGTACTTAAACTGTAACCAATTAATTGGTTGATTGAGTAGACTGTAGCCAGTTAAGTTGTTTTCCATCTGGCTGGAGTTCTCAGAACCTGCTCTGGTTTTGGGAGCTCCCAATTTATGAATCCTGTTTTGCTTTGTTTTGTTCTTTGCTTGAGTGAACTAGTAAATCTAACTGTTCTAAAGATTTTCCCTTTAACAGGTGTGTGCAGTGGCTCACAAGCTCCAAGCGACCTGGTCACTTACACCTAGTATGTAAAGGGCCAGAGCTCTCCAAGTGCTGTGTGACACTAACAGCTGTGTTTCCTTGGCGCAGAGTGTCCTCCTTTCTCTCTTACCATCATCCTGTTAACATTCCTTGCACAGAAACTCTCAGGAAGTCGTGATATTCTGTCTTCAATCTCTGTGGGGCTGGAATTCCTGGGATGTCTTTATTTTTATTCATTATTCACTTGCTGGCTCACTCATGGATCCAGATAACCATGCTGAGAATGTGAGGGACCTGAGTCCTGGACAATGGGAAAGGACTCGGTGGGAGAGGTGAGTCTGGCAACCTGGTTTCTGAGCTCTTCTGCTTCCCGTCTCATCTCACTCTTGAAGATGGAGTCTGTTCTTTAGCTACAGCCTCAGTCTCATCTGGAAAACAGAAGTGACAGTTATTTTACCTTTATCAGAGATTGTTCCCAGGTGGAATCTACATTAAGCAAAGTGACAGATGTAGTATTTTGAAAGATTGGGTATTTTTTTTTGCTACTATTTGGCCAGTATTTTCTGTACCCTTACCAGCATAGCTGAGCTAATACATTAAGCACATACATCCAAATATGGGCTTGTAAGCACAAATAAGGTAGTGGTTTTGGGTTAACCAAGGAACCTTAACTTTCCAGATTGATTGGGCAGTCATTTAGACCAGTGTGCTTAAAAATGGATTTGTAACAAAAATAAAAATAAATTAACATCTAACTTTTTGGACCTGGCAAGGGCTTAAAACAGAATGTAGTTCTGTTTTTCATTTCTTGGGAGACAGTATCTGTTATGGATGTTGGTGGTGAATGTTCAGTTGTCGTGTGGATTTACAGTGGCAGGTAAACATGGTGGCAGAGAGAGCAGATGACCAGGAAGAAGACCTTTTCTCTTGATCTGAGTATGCTCCACCCCATTGGTGACTTATCCTGGATGTAAAGTAGGTGCTATTTAGGATTAGTTTTTCTGTCAGGAGCTTTAGAAGACCCTCACTGATCAAATTTCTCCTTCTTCTGGCTGTTACTTGCATATATATGACCATAGTGTGTTTTCTCACCAAGCAACAATATATACATATTATGGAAAATGTAGGACAATATGTAGATGATGAGCTATTCCATGTTTTCACTTTCTCCAGTATTGTTAACATTTTATCACACTTCCTTCTTGCCTGTGGATCCACATGCATGTTATTTTTGTCTTGCGCTATGGAATTGCATTTTTAACACACTGATCTCCTTGATATACATGAAGGGCAGGAATTACAGAATTTCATTGAATATTTGTCTCCGAAGGTCATTTAATGAAAAGAGGAGAATTCTGAGATGCCTTAAATTACAGGACAGAGAAAGGAAGGAGGAAACAGACAAAAACATTTATTTTAATTGATAGCTCTAAGCTTAAGTTGACAAAGAAAAAGAACTGCTCCACATTCTTGTATGTTACAGATCAGCTATCAAGCCATGTTGTATGCTACAGATCAGCTATCAAGCTATCATGTTGTGCTTTTAGAACCACATAGTCAAGAAGTAGCCATGCTTTTCTTTATGGATTCTCTTCCTCTTCCAGAACTTTATTGCTTTGTTTCTTCCTGCTTTTATCTATACCAATGTAGGTTCAGCGTAAGCATTTTATGTTTCCTTCTCCCACATTTTTGCCATGAAATACCCCAGCTCCAGTTGATGTTTTTCAACTGCTGGCTAACCATTCTGTTGGTGGGTGAGGGAGTTTGTCCCAGGACCAGTTTATTTTATTTTATTTTTTGAGACAGGATCTTGCTAAGTTACCAAGTTGCCCAGGATGGGCTGGAATTTGTGGTCTTCTAGCTGCAGCCTTCCAGACTGCTGGGATTATGGGATTTACCGCCACAACCGGTTAAGATGGGTCCTTTTATTTTTGTCTGGCATTTGTAACAGCTTTCATAAACCTTTCATTTCAGAGTCGTCTTAGTTTCAGCTGTTTGATTGAACATACTAATAACAGAAAAGCAATAAGAAAAATCCATTAAAGGCAGAATGTGACAGTCACAGGTTCCTTATGGCCATCGGCATTGCTGGAGTAGCTATGGGAGTGTCCATTGATGTGGCTGACCTCCGTGCTATCCAGGGTGTCATTCATAGATGCATATTCAGGAAAACTTCATTATGTGCCAAGTCAATGCTTGATGTTATAGATAGTTTCCTCTCCACTGCTCTTTAATGCCTCAGCTAAGCACAAGCTGTGCCATACTGAGCTGTGCCCCAGCTCTTACTGCTTCTTTTGATTACCAGTGAGGTTTATAGGGATTCATTTGTTCTGTGCTTCACTGATGGTACAGCTGCTGTGCCCAGGAAGAGTGTTCCTCATGGGCTCCTCAGAGCGTGGTGACTATGCTAGCTGGCTTCACTGGGATGGGATGTTGTCCTTTTGGCCGCTTACAGGTTGTCCTGTCCTTTTTGCTTTACAGAGGAGGTGGTATCAGACTGACAGTGAGTACTACCTGTTGCAGTTCACACTGACTGTCCGCTGTCTGTACTATACCAGCTTCAGCCTGGAGTTTTGTGGGCAGCAGCTGCCTGCCACATGTGCCTCCCACTCCTTTCCTTGGATGCTGGCCTACGTCTTCTATTATCCTGTCTTCCACAATGGGCCTATCCTCAACTTCCCAGAGTTCTTCAAACAGGTAGGGGACTGGACTGGTAGTGGGGAGCTTGATAATGCTGTCCATGTTGCTCTGCTTGCCTGCATGACTTGAGTCTCTACACTTGGGTGTGTCCATGGATGAAAACACACACCATTCATTGACACAAGTTTCTGCAAATAGTTCAACTATATCAGAGAGCAAACTGGTACACTGAAAGTTGACCTGTCTCTTATATGTCAGCTCTAGGTCCTAGCCTTGATTCCAGGTGGCCTGTGACTCCCAGGATCCATAATTCGGCATGTGGGAACTTGGGAACTACTGCTTCCATGGAAGCCCCAGGGGAAGGAGAAGTTTGATTATTGCTTGGAAAAGTGGAAAGAAAACTATCTGTGCTGTTTGCTGTCTGGGAAGTAGTAGTCTGGGAATTATTTGGTGATCTAGATGAGAAAACAATAAAGGTAAAGATTGTTGGAAGGGAACATTGCATTTGCAGGTCCAAGCTGGGTCCTGCTTGCCCTCTCTGGAGAGCATCCTTCTAAGAGATGATGAGCTAGGTAGCTCGTCTCCTTCCCAGTGCACCTTCGCCCAGCTCCCCAACGTCTTCCCTCCCTCAGCCCATAGCTGGTATCACTGGACATGCTTAAGCTCATTCACGTTAGGTATTTATGCTCAACAATACTTAAAAGAGTTTCCCAAGGGCTGTTTCTATCCACCCATGCCACCAAAGCAGAACAGTCTTGGTGGAGGAAAGAACAAAATGTACGGACATGCATATAACATAAAACACCATACACACAATACACATATGCGTGCACACTCCTGGAAGCATAGTTCAGAGCTTAGGACCACCAGTAGTGTTGCTCATTTCTGAGGGACGGGGTCAACATGAAAGGTGCCATTGAAAAAGGAGGCTCCGAGAAATGACTTACTTTGCTTGAAAAATTCTACTGAGTTACATATTGGGTTTAAAAGTAGGTTTTTACATTGTAACAATAATATGATATGCTAAAATGGTCAGTGAAATCTTTTAAATGTAGGTTAGTGTATGGTCTCTCATATTTCCGTGTGGGTTACCTAGAGCCGTTTCCAAACTGTGTTTGAAACTGTGTTAAGTGACTGCTAGAAGGCTAACATGGTGTAGTGACGGCAGCTAATTGTCTCACTGAGGTCCTTGGATCTGCAGCATCTCAGGCCTGGCCCCAGGCTGCCTGAGCTTGGGGTGGGGCCCAAAAATATGGCTTAAAAGACCTTCCAGGTGATGTGGACCATGCTTCTGGCTCAAAACACTATCCTGATTTCTTCTGTGTGGGGAGGCTGAGGCACACAGAACAGGGTGGGCCGAGTCCTCCACATTGTGTCTCTCTCACGAGCTCCTTGGCTTAGTGAATTTTGAATGTTTTCAAACTCCCCAGCCAATAACTTTTAGATGAAGCATCGACTCTTCTCCTCCCTGGGAACCAATAGTAATTCTCACAGAAACCAACTCAGTCCATTCAGGGGGAACAAATTATTTTCCACTGTGCATCTTATCAATGAGTAGATGTGCTCTATGGGGTCTGAACTTTATTATGCACGATTATTAGAGCTTTAATTTTTTAATCTCTTTTTAAATTGTGGCCTTTCAGATCTGGCAGGTGTATTAAAGGCATGTCTTTGGGTTCTGTGAGTTTTGAGATGACTGCTCACCAAAATCCTTGGCCAAGAGCTGTGACTCTCTTAGGTCTCAGTATACATATGAAAAGGGGAAGAAGAGTCAACATTTTCCTGCAGGGGTTCAGGTAGAGACTCCAAGTTCCATTTATGTCTCACCCCTCTCTTTCTAGTCCTTCCAAATGATAGCAAATGTGGAGTCCAGGGAATTTGGAAAGGCATAGAAAAGAGAAAGGTCAAGAAAAGCTACAGGGAAAATAAAACATGACCCAGGAGGTCTCTACAGTTGTCAGGGGACTCTTGTGAGGTTCTTAGCCCTTGCAGACAGAGAGAGGAGCTGAAATGCGAATTCTGAAATTCAGATTCATACTTAGATGGCCAGGCAAATGCATAGCAACACAGAGCAGGAGATGGGGCTTCACCACCAGGGAGCAGCAGAGCCCCACTGCGGACCCAACCCAGAGGGAAAGGCAGTGTCCAGGGACACTCAAGCTGCAGGTGATAAAGTGAGTGGAGCACAGGCCTGGAGAATGCATCGCCTGCCTGCGTTTTTTAGCACATACATACGCGAGATGAGAGAAGTATGGAAGGATTCTGTCATTTAAGGCATGTAAACTTTTGCACCCTTCAGTTACAAATAGGTAAGAATCTCGCATGTTACAAGGCTGTTTCTGATGACAGTTAGACTTTCAGAAACATGAGCTACAGTGCTTTTGGCCATGCAGCTGTAGAATTCAGATCCTGAGCTGCAGTGAGGTGGGATCCAGGAGGGTTCAAGGAGGATCAGTGTGCTGTTCTTATGTTCAGCTGTGAGCCTGTGCGACTTCTTTTGCACAGGGAGGGAAAAGGTGAGGCCAAGAGGTGGCCTGGGCCTTCCCTGCCCATGCTCAGCAGGGAGCTGGGCATGCAGCTGGAAAGCAGAGGCTCCAGAGCCCAAGTGCCTGGGTTTGCATTCCTGCTCTGCCTTGTCTGGAGAGTGGCAGGGGAGTCAATTCATTTGCACTCCAGCTGTGAGCCACGAAGAGCAGCAGTACCTCCCTTATAGGGTTGTTGTGAAGGCCAAATGGTGGTATGCTGCTCCTGTAGCTTGAGACATTACAGACATTACAGTTACTTACTCCTATTTTTGTTGCTATTATTAGAGAAAAGCAGGTGTCAATACTGTGGTTGGTTTAGACCAGCAGTGCCGAGTGTCTAGTCTTGTGCATAGTGGTACACAGTAGCAGAGATGCTGGAAGTGATCCTCCTCAGCCTCTGAGGAGCTTAGTGTCTTGGCTCCATCTGTTTGAAGATACTCAGGAGGCTGCTGGGTGGCTGGTAAGGGCAGGCGAGTGGGTCGTGTCCCCAAAACTCTTTTCAGGGTGGCTGAAGATGGCCCTGGCTCTGAAGAGTGCCGTATGATGCTGACTGTACTGATACTGACAAAGTACTCAATCAAGCCAGCTCTCAGGTTCTGGGTCACACACACTCAGATAACCTGACAAGGGAGATGTTGTTGTAACCACCTCATAGACAAGTAAGTGAAAGTAAAGAGTCTCAGAGTACTTGGCAAAAGGAATAAGAAATAGGCCGTGGCATGCTGAGTTGGTGAGACAGCAGGTAGACGCGTGGTTTACCTGCAGGTTTGGAGACAGCAGCCAGCCAGACCAGGTCCCAGGCTACAACATCGATACCAGCAACAGCCCCATGAGCTGTCTGAGAAGGACCGTAGTGAGCCACCACCTGCTGAGTGCCAGGCTGGGCAGCGAGGGCTGCTCGGGAACAGGGTATGGCCTGTGACTAAGGAGTGAGGAACAGCTGTCGCGCACTCTGAAGCAAGAGGGCTCCTGCCTCTGCTCGCTTCTCTCCAACGTTTGTGTTAGTAGTGAATGACAGAAAAAACCTTTCATTTTTGTGTACTGTCATCTTTAATCATTAGAATGTCTCTGGCAGAGAGAGAAGGCTTCAATATTCCCTTTTATGCAATTTGCATGAAATGAGGTTTTAAAATATAATGTGTTTTAAGATGTACTTTACAGATGAGTTCATGTTTTTTTTTTTTTTAGTGGAGCCTGAACTTAAAATTCCTCTGATGGCAGTTTGCAGTGGTCTTAAGGTTGACAGTCCCCTCAGTTGGCAATATCGTAAATAAAATACTTGCATGTAGACCAGACAACAGCTGTGCTCATTAGATGAGCTCTGTGTAGCACTAGGCTAGGGTATAAATGGATGGTCACAATGACACAACCCTGGAAAAGACAAATAGCCTTCATTTATGGAAAAGCAAACAGTGTGAACAGCTGGATTATTTCCCTTCTCCTAAAAGAAGTCCAGCCCTTAGGTCCTGCCATGACACATAATTATGCCTTCCAACCTGAGGGGAATTTGGCCTACAAAAAATAGCTAAGTCATTGGGAAGCAGTCAGTCACATTGTGGCCGCTAATCACAGGTGTGTGTAGAATATTAGGCTGCACATGCTTGAAGAGGCTCAAGAAGATGGGGTCCGAAATGACCTCAAAGGGTGACAGCTGCAGCTGAGAGGCAGCTGGGAAGATGCTTGGCACTGGTTGTGTCCTGGTCCCCTCAGAGCCAGTTATCTTCTCTACTCCTGAGGGTGGAGCTGCACACGGTAATGCCCTGAGCCCTCAGACACAGGCCTTCTTATTAAGAGGACCTATAGTGCAGGTTGGTTTATGTTCAGTAGCCTGAAACACCATGGGCATAGTTGTTTGCTTAAAAACTGGAGCTGAGCATGTTATTGAATGGCTGTGATCCCAGTGCTCTGGGAAGCTGAGGCAGGACAATGGCAAGTTTGAGCCCAGTCTGGGCAATTTATGAAGATCGTGTCTCAAAATAAAAAACTGCACATTGGTGTCTGGTGAGGGCCCATCCATGACACTCCACATCATGTTACTGCATGTGGCAGAGCCAGTCATTGGCCACCGTTATGATTTCATCACCTCTCAAAGACCGCACTTCTGGTCTCAAAGATTGTCAATCAGGTCCCGGGGCTGGGATTTCAAAATATGAAGTTAAGAGGGACACACACATTGAGACCGTAGTATTGTTTTGGTACTGGTTCCTTATTTGCTGACTGTTATTAGGTCACGATGAGTTTGCCTTTGATGTCTAGAGGAAGGATGGAGGATGAAGAAAGATGTAGAAAGTGAAGAGTGAGTGAGGTGAGAAGCTAAGGAGGAAAAATTACGTTAGCATAAAAGAGAGGGGAGACTGTTGTTAGAAGACGCTGGCTTCCTGATGAGAGCCCTGACACTGGGCATCTGTGAGAGGACGGATGTAGAATAGAGTGGCCCTGACACACCTGCTCACTGACAGACAGGTCTGAAGTTTTCAGTTTTACTTTCATCCTGATTACAAAAATAGTTCATTTAAATTGTCAAAAACCTCTAAAAGATAATCCAAAGATTACTGCTGTTATCATTGTGGTGTATATTTTCCACCTTCTCCTTGTGTTATTCATGTTGAATAAAAATTGGTCTGTGGCTGTAGAATACTGAGGGGCACTCATGCATTTAACCAGCCCTTTGCTATCAGATACTTGGATAATCTCCTTTTACTTCTCCTTCGTAAAGTAGTGTAGACATCTGTGAGTTGGCAGTAGGCATTTCTGCCCTGACGATGTCATGATCCACTGGCTCATAGACCCAGATGCTTTGTAGGGCTTCTCTGTGTGTATGGGCTGGCAGGAAAGAGTCAGATCTTAGTTTATGCCCAGAAACAGATCTGCTCTGGGTCAATATTGCATGGCTGCCCTTGAAGTTTCTGTGATCACTACAACGCAGTTTTATCCATTTCCATTGGAAGATGGTGAGAATAAGTGGTCCAAGGGAAAGGTAAGCAGACTGAAAACAGCTCCTTCATGCAGCTCACTGGACTGCCATGGAGTCAGCAGGATTGCCTTGCCTGGCTTCTGGTGTTAGGAAGATAGTTTTGGGAAGTGGGAGGGTAAATGCTTAAAAGTGGAATAAAAAATCCCCTGGGATATGGGCCTCCCTTCCCATCTGTGGGTAGTGCCTGCTGCTATCCTGATGGCAGAGGAAGCCATAGCATCTGGGTTGCCAGTGCGGAGAGCAGCTGCAGGGGTGCCCCAGGGTACCCTGGTGTCAAGGAGACACCATACGGACAGAGGACACACAAACTCCTGGACCTCTAAGCTGTTACTCATTAAAAGTATGATTTGTATTTTTTCCTGAGGCATTCAAGGACTTAAAAGTGATTTTGCTAAAAAACAAACAAACAAGCAACTCATAATGACTCCACACTTAGATGTACAGGTATCCATCCTATAGGTATCTGTCTCCTGTATTACCTTAAGATGTTGGTTTTCATCCTTATTTAGCTGCCCATTTTGGCATGAAAGTCATATAGGGCATGCCTTTGTAAAAGCTGTTAAACAAGGTTCATTATCCCTAAATTTACATTTCCCGTCAAGATAGGACACCAAGATAAGAGTCTTTTAGGGGTGTTTAGTTACCATTAAGCACCTGGAAGTCTCCAGTCATTGCCCTGTGGTTACAGCAGAACCTCTGTAAGACCAAAACTGTCCCAAAAAGAACAGTCATCTCATGGAAACTGGACAAGGCTAAATAAAACCTTCTGGGTCCGTCCTGGCAGAACCAGCACTGAGATCAGGATTACTCAGAGCCATCTCAGCAGATCTATAAGAGCTGGTCCTATTCTTTGGTTAATGGATCAGTCTCATCTCCTCCATCAGGGCTGTGTACCTTGAGCTCCCCCAACTCAAGTCCCTCACTTTCATTTAAATTGTTTCTTACTTTCCAACTCTCTCTAATAAATCTGCCTGCCTCTGACATACCCTGAAATTCGAGAACCTACCTGGGTGAATTGGGAAATCCTCTTCCCTGGGGGACCTCCTTGGATTGACCAGTGACCTAGGAATGGCCTTTCTAGTTTGCTTAGTGTCGTGAGCCTAAAAGTCCAATGCTAAGTCAAGTTGATGTCCTTTAGTAGCCACGATGTACAGGTGTGTCTCAGGTTCAGCATGGCTACATGCTCACTTCAGCCTTGGGAAATCTCAGTCTTGTGAGATGCAGAAAACTTATGATCGTTCTTTTTAGCTTTTTTGTGTGTTCATCTAAGTGGCTTAGGGATGAAATAGAATGACTTAAAATTTTTACAGCATGTTTTTGAATTCTAAAATCTCTGTGTTTGTATTACTGCAAAGCTGGGAATCTTGGCAGAATATTTTGTCTGTCTTGTCCCCTGTATTGAGTATTCATGTTCAGTGCTGATTGAACATCCCTAATCTCAAAATCAGAAATGCTGCAAAATGCAAAAGTTTTTTAGCAGACTTTTAGATTAGGGAGGCCCAACCAGGGATATCCATTGGGAATATTTGGATATCCTGAAATCTGGAATGCTTCTGGTCCTAAACATTTTGAATAAGGGGTCCCCATAGTTCTCCTATAAGCAACCAAAACACCCTCTCTCCCTTTATGCCTTGGCTCTGATCTCTTTCCTATTATTTCCCTGTGGCTTGGATTCTGGGACTTGTGAGGAAGACTGTGAAGAAGGTACACACAGGAGACACATAATAAATAGTAACTTTGTGCTTTTATATGCCAGGTACTGACCTTAGTGCATCAAGTATTTTATCATAGATTAATCACTGCCAAGTTTCTGAACTTTCTATAAGGGGAAACTAAAACAGGATTACATGGCTTGTGCTAGAATTTGATCCTGATTGAACCTGACTAAAGCCTATGTTCTTAATCATTATGATACATTGCTGCTGAGCAAGACATTTGTCCCCTGCTTTGTTTCAAAAGCAATTTGTGGTCAAATCACACAGAGAGAGACTCATAATTTTCTTTCTCTCATTTTTTGGTTCTACTTATCACTCTTCCTTTCTCTCACCAGTTCTGTGCCTCTTTTTGCCTTAGCCATAGACATGCATGGGTGATGGGTGAAGACAGCCAGGCCAGTATCTGGAGTCCAGAGAGCACAGGTCCCAAGGGTGGGAACATACTGAGTGCCTGGGTTTTTTCAGGGCCTTTGGTCAGGGATGGGAAGAGGGGGGCAGATGCAAGACTTGTCACAGTTCCTAGCATTGGGGTAGCTTGTCGGCTTCCTTCTCATATTTGGAATGATTTTCACTAAAGAACCTTGAATATTCCCAAGCTAAACCAACCCAACCCTTTGTTAGTAGCAATGACAGTATAGTTTTGGAGAAGTTTATTAAGAACATTATTGAGGGGACACTATTTTAGAAATGAGGCCACAAGCTAATGCCTTCTCTCTGTTTCCATGCCAGATGCAGCAGCCAGAGCTCTGTTCACTGAAGGACAGCCTCTGCATCCTGACCTGTGGTCTGGGCCGCCTGATGTGTTGGTGGGTACTGGCTGAGCTGATGGCCCACCTCTTGTATATGCACGCCATCTACGGCAGCATCCTCCTCCTGCAGGACGTCAACTGCTGGACATTAGGTAACACAGCAACCCTGCCAGGAAGGAGGAGCCCTGGTAGTTGGTTTCAGAACAGATTTGCATGGGAGGCACTTAGCATGCAGCTGCCTTGAGCCAACCTGTCCTTGTGTAACCTTACTCTTCCATGGCCAAGATTACACAGTGGGAAGCCAGGAGATCAAGGGCTCAGGGAAGCCTCCTTGTGCTGGGATCCTGCTGAGCTTAGCTGAATGTGCGTCTTCCTTGAATTACTCTATCACATGTAGCAGTAGAGAGCAAGCATTGCTGGGGGCAGTCTAGGGGTTCGCTTCAAGGCTGAGCTGTTCTGCAGTGTGCCTCTTCCTGTTTGAATGTCCAGGAAAGAGCATGAGCTTTAAAGTCAGATGGGCTTACATTTGGATCCCACCCGCTCCAACCAATGGCAGGCAACCTTTGTGCCTTATTAAATCTGTCTAAGCATTACCATCTTCATTTCTAAAGTGAGACTAGCCTTTGTGGAGTGGTTTCAATGAAATAATATGCATTAAGTGTGTACTTAAGGAGGTGGCTGGTGTATAGAATAAATGGTATGTGTGTGTGCGCACACAGGAATGTATGCACTTGCCCTATCTTGCCTCTTTTTCTCAGCTACCTGTTTCTCTACACTGCCAGGCAGGCAGGATGGAAGTCTTACTTCCTTTCCAGTGCAGGATTTGCTGAAGAACCTGTTATCCTTTATTCCTGTGGCTGGCACAGCAGAACTATGCCTGTTCTAAACCTCCCTCCCTTGTCCTGTCCTCTGAGAGATCCTGGGGGCCCTCACTGTTGCTCGCTGCCCACCAGCCCATGGCTGCAGCAGGGGTGTGTTCTTCCTGCAGATGGAGCCGCTCTTTGCCTAGACTTCTGATTTGCTTGATGATTTACAGATTTTTAAACTCTTGATTGCCCTTGTGTCATACATACTTGATCAGAGAGTTCCTGGGGGAAGAAATCTTTTCAGAATGAAAAAAAGGTGAATTGTCTTAATGGCAGATGACACTTTCCAAACAGATCTTTTCTTTCTTTTTTAAAACCAGATTATGCGACTTCTTACCACATTTTCTTTGGCTGCAGAAGACTCTTTAAATTTTTTTATCAACATGCAATAACGGCTCACATCTATGGGAGACAGGGTGATGTTTGAACACTTGTATGTACTATGCACTGATAAAATTCAGAGTAATTCGTATTTGCAGTGTCTTATTTGTTATATTTGAAGACTGTGCAGTTTTAGTGATAAAATGAGACAAAGGGGGAGGACTAGGTGGAGGCTTGTCCTAAATCACATCCCCGTGGGACAGCACCCAAATTAAGAAGTTGTTTTAGTTCTGGTACTGTTAGCTGAGCAGGAGGAAGCACAACTCAAAGTGGGTCTTAAGCTAGGGACCCTTACCACGTGTAGCACTGTCACCTGAGATCAGCATGCAGCGTGGTGAATTAGTGACAGAGCCGGTGATCTGGTCCTTAGCCCTCAGTTTAAGAGCTGAGCAGAATGACCCTTCATCATAGCTGCCCTGCCTGCCCCCCGCCTGTGCTGGCCAGGCACACCTCATCTTTGTCTTTACCATCCTTCCAGTCAAATCCCTAAAATTGCATTTTGACCTCTTCATGTAAACTGATTGCTATTTGTTGTGTTTTTCTGTGACTTCTGTTTAACATTGTTTTTGAGATGTGTTGGTACTGATGCACAGAACCATGAACCATTATTCTCACTGTATTCAGCTGCCTGTTCACTTGGAGAGATGCCTCAAGTTACCTGTCTGTTCTACATGTAAAGGCCCTTTGAGCTTGTCTGGGTCTTACCCTCTGTGAGTCTCCTAGAACTCATAACCCAGTTTCCCTGTAGGGTGGAAGCTTTTGGCACATGACCCACAAAAAGAAATGCATTTTGCATTATGTGTGTCTGCAAATGCTTATGAGACCATACTTTAATCCTCTAGCAATGTGTTTTGGTATGTTCTCTTTTTCCCCTGGTATTTTATTTTCTATTCCTTACTATTTCATAGGAAAACGCTGATTAGAAACTGCTCAACCAAGACACTATCCAGAGTTTATAAATCATTGCTCTAAATACACACCTAGAAATGAAACTGATGGATTGTGTGCAATGCAAGCCTTCAGGTTTACAAACAATGCCAAATTATTTAGGTTAGGTGAAATAGTTTAAGTTCTTGACAGTGTCTGAAAGTTTCCACTGCTTAAAATTCTCATTGGCACTTGATACTGCTGTTTACTTATGAAAATGTGATGGGTGTGAATTGTGCCTTATAATTTTAATTTGTGTGTCCTTAATTACTAATTAGTTAAGTATTTTTAATAGGTTTACAGATTTGGCATATCATTTTCAGTGATATGACTTGATAACTTTTGTTGATTTTTCTAATAGGACTTTTTTGTGGTGTCATGGAAGTTATTTTTTCCACATGACCACCTTTTTTTAGTTTGTATTTTGTTGAACATATTAATGTCTTCTTCTGGTTTGTGGTTTGCCCTTATTTTTTCTGCTGTCTTTCCATGAATAGACTTTATTTTATTGTAGTAGCATTTATAAACTTTCTTTCATGCTTTGTGTTTAAATCATTTAAAAATAATTCTTTACTATTCCAAGGTTATAAAGATAATCTCTTCAATTTTCTTCTAAAGGTTTTAAAGATAAGATAAAGTGTCTTTGGTTTTTATGTACTTTAGTATTGTAAAAAAGGAAATGTATAGATCATCCCAAATTTAAAAAGGAAAAAATTACATTATCATCTGTCTAGAGTTCACATTTGATAAAGTTTTAATGTTTACCATTCCCCATTGTTTACTATACACAAGATTATTATTTCCCCAGATGAATTTATGCTCAGTATGTCCTGAATAATTTTGAATCCTGAGTTTTGTTTTAGTATAAGAGAAGCCATGTGATATTTAAGCTTGTGTGTCTCAGTTTACTTAACATTATGGTTTCAAGTATGTCCGTTTTCCTACAGATGACTTAAATTTATCCTCTGATATGGTAGAATAGTACTACTCTAATGTGTATAGATACTACATTTTAAAAATCCATTCATCTTTTGATAGACGTATAAGCTATTTCCAAGATTTAGCTATTGTGAATTATAGCAATAAACATGAGTATCCATACACACTGTAATATAATGTCTTTAACTCTTTTGAGAAGGTATCTAGAAGGGGACTGGCTGGTTCAATGCACTTTCTAGTTTTAGTTTTTTGAGAAATTTTCATACTGATTTTATAAGTTTGCAATCTTACCAACAATGGAAAAGGATTCCTTTCTCCCCACAGTCTTGCCAACATTTGTTATTGGTTGATTTCTTGATGGTAGCCATTCTTTCTTTAGTGAGATGAAATCTCAGTGTTTTTTGAAATTTGCATTTCTTGAATGGCCAGTGATACTGAACATGTTTTCATATATGTATTGGCTGTTCATATTTTACCTGAGAAGTGTGAATTTATTTCAGATGCTCATTTTTAATTGGGTCTTTAAATTTGTGGGTTCTTAATTTTTTTTGAGTTCTAGATATGTTATGGAAATTACTCTTTTGAGGAGTAGCTGGCAAATTTTATTTCCTATTCTGTAGGTTATCGCTTCACTTTTTTGATGGTTTCCTCTGCTGTGCATAAGCTTTTTAATTTGATGTGATCTCATCTGTTGGTTCTTGGTATTACCAAAGATTTGTTTTTATAGTTTTCTTTCTGCATATACAGTCAGGCCTTGAAATTTGTGGGAGATAGGCTCCAGGAAGCTCCCTGGATATCAAAACCTGCAGATGTTCAAGTTCTTTCTATAAAATAGCATAATATTTGTATAACCTACACACATCTTTTTGTATCCTTTGACTGTAGATTATTTTAGATTACTTTAAATCTAGACTATATAATGTAAATGTTATGTAAATAGCCATTATACTGTATTTTTAGGGACTGTCACATGAAAAAAGATCTGTGCATGTTCAATACAGATTTTGTAAACAAATATTTTCATCCTGTGGTTGGTGGAATCTGTTCATGTGAAACCCAAACATATGGAGAACTCACTGCATTTAAAATTTTTGCTTATGTTTTTCAAACATGTTAAATAAATATAACGATTTCATTATTTATATGCTACAACTATGAATGATTTAAAATATGGGAGGATTTACAGTCAGTTTAAATCTGATTCTTCATTTTCTATCTACTGATTCTCACTCATGTTTTAGAGTTTTTGATTGTGAGCTCGTGTTATTTGTCACTTTGCCTTTGGGAACTGTTTAGGTCTGTGTATGGCCTATATTTATCCAGAGAAGATCAATGTTTCTTCTAGGTACCTGGAAGTGTTACCAGTTTGAGACTACATAAAGTTCTTTCTAGTGCTTTCTACATGGAGGTACAGGGAGTGTTGTCCTTTGGAGGTCTGGTTCATGTGTAATCAGAGTCTGAGCTCCAATGTGGTGTGATCCCCAAAAATGGTTCCCTGTCCTCAGAATACAAGCTCTGCGTCCCTAGAGTCTGGCAGGTGTTACCAGGGAAAAGACAAGCACTTTGCTCACTCATCTTTCTGCTTGTATTTCATATCATTTCTGAATTTTATTCATTTTCCAAGTTGTCAATATGTATTTACCTATGTGTTTAAAAATATTTTATTCAGTATTTCTTATGTGTAATCCACTGGGGATGATTCTCAGGATAAGGAGTCTACTATATGGTCAAAAGTGAGAGTCCCACCAGGCCTTTTTGTGAGAAGGGAAAGAAGTTCCTCCTGTAGGCTTCTGAGGATCTCATGGCTGTAAATAGTCATTCATGTGGCAGTCAGTCATCTACAAAGGGAATGAGAATTCCATGATTAGCTGATAACCTGAAATTTCTTCCAAGTCACTATGGAGAAAGAATTTGAGCACTTGAACAAAATTGTATTTCCAGTGACAAAGATTAAGGGAGAGAGTTGTTTGATGGGAATCCCGTATATTTATTTCTTTCTTTTTATTTTAAAGATAGTAAAATCCAACAAAACAAATCAG